AGAGAGAGAGAGAGAGAGAGAGAGAGAGAGAGAGAGAGAGAGAGAGAGCGCGAGAGAGAGCGAGAGAGCTATAGACAGATAGATAGATAGATTCACGGTTCCATGCGTTGATGGGTGTGGTGGTGGTGGTATGTGCATGTGTGGCAGGTTGCGATGGGTTGGTGGGTTTGGTAGTAGTAGCATTGGTGGGGATAGGTAGTGGTGGGTGTGGTATGTTGGTGGGTGTGCTTGCGTCACGCGAAATCATATCAAATAGACAGACTGCTGACATTTCCCTACAGTAAATTAGACAACTACTAACCTCACACATACTCAATAAATAAATAGCGGTAAACGCTCAAGATAAACAGGCAGCAAAGAAACCGCGCTGCGTGAAACAGCAGCCGAATTCGCCAACCGTAAAAAAAAGATGCCATGCATCGCCACAGTAGCACTACAACACGGGCCAGTGGGTGGGTGGATGAGTGTAGACCCAATACTGAGACTGATGCTGCTCTCGCACGTATAGACTGGTTCAATCTTCCAAAAATTTTACTTCACGAGGCATTTTTGAGGGAAACGCAAACAAATAGGTGTTTCTGGAGCGGATATTTACGCATCGAACTTCATCTATTAAAGCTTCCGCATATGCACCAGCAATCACCGCTCGTGTGTGTGTTGTGTGCTCCGTGGCAACTTGCGCGGTGTTGCTTTGACCTCGCTGCGTTCACGCGTCGAGCGGCAATCACCGGGCGCTTGTTGACCCAAGGGTGACGAAAAAACACACGCGCTCGCTGCCGGCCAATGTAATCACTAGTGAAGACTGGGCGCGATTGACGAAAACCCAATCATACGACGTCGCCCAATCATATCTATCGGATGCGATAGCCGCCTATTCACGATGAACGTTAGTTGCCGTGACGACGCCGTGATGACCTCGTGATGACCTCGTGACGTCGTCGTGACGACGCCGCGACGTCACCGTGACGATGCCCTGACGTCGTCATGACATCGCCGTGACGACGCCGTGACGACACTCCGACGTCACCGCGACGTCGCCTACCTCCCATCATGACGCCGGACTCGGGAAGCTGGCAGGCGATGCCGAATCCCCCGACCTTGACCGGGGCCGAGTTGTCCTTGTTGGCGAGCAGCATGCAGTGCGGCTTGATGTCGCGGTGAATGATGTCGTTCTCGTGGCAGTACCGCACCGCCTCCAGGATCTGCCTGATGTAGTGGCTGCGGAGAGGCAGGGGAGATGGATACGTGAATGTAATAAATATGTGTATATATATATATATAAATATATATATATATATATATATATATATATATATATATATATCATTATCATATCATATAGAGCATATTATTATGCTGGTTATTATAATAAAATGTAATAGCCGAGAGGAAGGGGAGATAAATATGCAATAAATAATGCAACAAATATGTGTATATATACACAATATCAAGAGCTAATAAATACGGATATAATAAATAGCGAGGTAAGTGATAGGTATTTATTAGCTCTTGATAATATATACAGTAAAACTCGCATAAGTCGACACTTTTGGGACCAGCATTTTTGTGTCGACTTACGAAAATGACGTCATTTTGTCGTACTTATATGTAAGTCGCCAAAATGATGACTTATATGCGTGTATATCGTCATTTTGGCGATTTACAAAGCCGGTATTTCGACGACTTGGAGAGTGTAAAGCTGATATTCTGCCAGGCATATCAGCATGAATAATTAATATGGTCTCTCGGTTGCATCTCTGCTTTCTAGTGATATATATATATATATATATATATATATATATATATACAGTGCGGTCCCGTTATATCGCGATCTTACAGCGACGACTTACAGATAGGAAATTACTGTTGTTTGTATTACATGGGACCTGTCTGAGAGCGCCGACTTACACATAATGACGGCTTGTAAATGACGACTTAGGATTATTCCAATGGATTTATTATGAGAGGAAATCGGGACTTTGACTTTCATGTCGACTTACGCGAATTGACGAGTTAGACGATGCCGACTTATGCGAGTTTTACTGTATATATATACTGGTTACTGGTTATTATATGGGTTGTAATATCTTATATTTTCATAATATATTTTTTATATATATATAATATATATATATATTTAAAGTATTTATGTGTTATTTTTATGTTCTTTATTTTATATATTATATAAAAAAAAACGTGTGTCAAAACAATGTTTGGAATTTCTATAGATTATTTCTGGCGAGAGCTCAGGTGTCATCACTCGGTCACACGCGGCCCTTAGATGTGCGCGCACGCGCAATTTCCTGTCTTATCAAAGCAAGCAGTTTTCATTAACAGCGTGAGATCTTGGCTTCCTCTGACCGCCTGGCGTCACGAACGAACGTAAGCGCGCAGGTGAGTGGGTTGATCAGCAGGTGACACGCTGGCCTGAGTGCAGTCCAACGAGCCACGAGACTCATACAGACTTAGAAAGACTGCAGTGGACCGATAAACAACTCTCCCACCGAAAAAAAAAGCTCGACGGAAAAGTCATGCGAATTCACAATTAGAGGGCAATTACGGATCGCGCACGCACACACGCCTGCAATGACAGGAATGTGAGGAGAACACGGGTTGACGACAACAACAACCCTTTTTTGCAATAATCAGAAAAACATTCTGAATTGGCGATTTCACGTAGGTCATGGCGAATTTGCATGCGATTCACAACAGAAATACTTGCTCTTCTTGCAATGTGTTTTCTGTTTCATTGACTCTTGTTCTTGACTTTTCATTTTGACATTGACTGTTTAAATGCTATAACAATAAAATAAATCTAGTCTTTTCTGCATAGCAGGTGACAAACACCATAATACAACATGCAACTCATAAAATAACCATATAAGCATATAACGTTAGGATTAAGCAAGTCATATTAGAAAAGCAAGTCTCTGGCCATCACTGGTGAAAATACGCGATTTCTCACGATTGGCAGACACAGCAAAGGATATAATATAAAATGATAATGATTCTTTAGGCAATCCGTACATAAAATAATCGGATTACACAACGGTGTAAAAATTTCATATAATAAGCAATAAAGATTAAGCGATCACAAAACTTATCAAACCCCATCAAAAACCAATCAGTAAAGTATCATCTTATATGTGAAATCTAGAGTGCAAGTGCTAATTGCATATGATGGGCCATACATTACCTAACAAATGAGTTCATTTTTGTCACTGGTCAGGTTTTAATTTCACGAAATATTTTTGACAGAACTAAAGAGATAATTGCTTCTGTAATTAATTCAATTACAGCAAATTCTCTCATCATCATAATCTTATACAGTAAAGGAAGAAGGAATGGCTTGTAAATACTATACACTATCATCCTACAACAGAGTAACACAACTCATATTTAGAACGAGTACGCAATGCAAGCGCTCACCACGTCTTAAGAGCAAAACCCCCGACTAATAAATATTTAGTGACATTCATCAAATGCTCCATTTGAAAATAAATTTTCTTCTTCTCGCAAGCTCTTCGATAGAAGTGTCGAAGTGATGGTGCGCATACGTAATTATCATCGCGCCATTTCCACTGTTTGAGTTATCATCCACGATCAATAATACCGAGTACAGAAGCTTTTACTACTATTTGTAGAAGCTAGATGTTTTAGTTATGCTTTTGCAATGCAATTAGTGTCATCTGATTAACAATGGAAGTGCTGGCAGTGCACGGCAACAGCGTTCGAAAACGGTCGGCTCGTCGGCTCGAATAATAGCCATTTAGAATGATTTTACAGCGACGCAGAACCCGCAAACATCACACGTCAGGGTTTCTTAGAAGTTAGGTCTTTAGAAGGTTACCTCGCAACTGCTTCACTGTAGACAAATCCTGCACTCGCTCTGCGCACAATCTCGAAACAGAGATCTGCACCATCCATGCTGAAAACAGATAATGCATAATTAATTCACCTGCCGAGTCAGTTCATATAGACAAGCACGCACGCACGCACGCACGCACGCAGGCACGCACGCACGCACGCACGCACGCACGCAGGCACGCACGCACGCACGCACGCACGCACGCACGCACTCTCTCTCTCCCCCTCTCCCTCTCCCCTTCTCCCCCTCTCCTCCTCTCCACCTCCCCTCTCTCGCTCCCCTCTCCACCTCTCCTCCTCCCCACTCTCCCCTTCTCCTCTATTTCTCCCTCTCTCCCGCCCTCCCTCGCTCCGTCTCCCACTCTCCTCCTCTCCTTCTCTCCTTCTCCCCTCTCCTCTTCTCCCCCTCTCCTCCTCTCCACCTCCCCTCTCTCGCTCCCCTCTCCACCTCTCCTCCTCCCCACTCTCCCCTT